CTTCTTCTCCTTTCTTTCTCTTCCCTATACGTCGTCTCTTCCACCCCCGTCCCCCTATTTTTTGGCGCACTGATCATTCCGGATTGATTTGATGTGTTTCGGCACAAGATATAGCATTTAAAAGTTCAAAGTTCATAAATTTTGATTTGAGGTGTGATTCGTAATTTTGATAGCGTTTGATGTGATTTGAGGGCTCGAGCAGGTTCATGTTATGTATTGGGACTGGTTGGTATGCTCAGACAAGGTTTCGAGTGGCTAGGGTGAGTTTCGGGGTGGTTTCGGATCATTTCTAGGCCATTTTTAGTTGCTGGTTTTTGTCCACAGAGGTATGCATCGCGATCGCGGACAAACGATCGCGATTGCGAAGAGCAATTTTGTTGTTTGGGGACTGTGAATTGCGATCGCGGGAGCCTTTTCGCGATCGCGTAGAGGAAACTCCTGCCGCACTGACCCGATTTTGTAAGCTCGTATCTCGCAATCTATAAGGAATTTGGAGATGATCCAAAATTAAAAGTTGTAGCTCTTTGTGTCTAGTTTTCAGAAAGGTAAACTATTTATCATTTGGAGTTGTGTACAAAAAGTTATTGTAGATAAACTACAGGCTGTCCGGGAAGAGTTTGGAAATATCTGTTACATTGGGTTGCCTTTGGAAGCTTGTATCTCAAAATATATAAGGAATTGGAGATGAGAAATAAATGAAAGTTATAGACCTTGGAATCTAATTTTCAGAAAGTTAAACCATTCATCATTTGGAGTTTTGTACAAAACGTTATGACGGATTGAAGCGATTTTTGAGGCGATTTTCACCATATGGATTGGGGTAAGTGTTATATATCCTAAATTATTTATATTTCATGAATCTATGATTATATTCATCGTTTAATTCGTATTTTAATGGAAGAAATCAGGATTTTTGTAAACATCTTCCAAAAACGAAAATTTAAGATTTGAAGGTCGAGTTGTTATTAGAATTCGATAAAATTGGTATGGTTGAACTCGTATTGAATGGGTGTTCGGATTTCATGAAAATTATGCCGGGTTCCGAGGGGCGGGCCCCGCGTTGACATTTTGGAATAAATTTTTAAGTCGACGTATTATTATCCGGAATTATTTTTGGTGAATTTTAATAAAGTTATACAATTAATTTGGATAGATTTGAGTGGTCCGGAGGTCAATTCAAGCAAGAAGGCAGCGACGGTGGCGGCTGAGACAATTTTCCGGCGAGCCTTGGGCAAAGTGGGCGGGAACTTCCAACATAGCTGTTGTGGACAACACCTTTCTCGGCACTCGTGGTGACTTCAAGTTCTATTGTTCTTGCTTTGAATTTACTATTTTGCTCGCGGGAGTTGGTACCTCCCATTTTCCAGTTTTCCTTTGTTGTGTGAGTTAAATTGCTGGCATCTTACCTCGTACTACTTTATTTACCGTATTAGTTTTCATGTTGTTGCAACTTGTATTCTTCTCGTTTGGTCTGTTGCCTTGTGTGATAGTGATTCCCCTTACTCTGTCGTACGTATAGTGGCTGTGGTCTGGGATGGTCGAGTGAGGTCATGTCTTCGGGGGAACAGGGGGTGGGGCAGGATTTAGAGGGTGGGGAGGGAGGCAATGGAGGTAAAGGGAACAAGAGTGGCTGTAGATTGAGAATTGGGTCGTGGAACGTAGGTACATTGACGGGTAAATCTATAGAGTTGGTGAAGATCCTGCAGAAGAGGAGGGTCAATATAGCGTGTGTCCAAGAGACAAGGTGGGTAGGGTCGAAGGCGAGGGATGTGGACGGGTATAAACTTTGGTACTCAGGAGTCCAGAAAGGTAAGAATGGAGTAGGCATCCTGGTGGATAGGGAACTTAGAGAGTCTGTAGTTGAGGTTAGACGAGTGAATGATAGATTGATGATTATTAAGTTGGTGGTTGGAGAGTGCACCCTTAACATCGTTAGCGCNGAACTCACAACCTTTTGGTTGAAAGTGAAGGGTGCTTACCATCAGAGCAACCCACCTTGTCTATTCACAGTTACTATTTTGATGACAAAGAATTAATTTAACATAATTAAGTAAATCGATTGGAATTCTCGCTGCTTTTGAATACGCGGCTTTGTACATTAGGATAAAAAGTTGAATTTATCCTGTTAATTATTTCACTTTACTTGCTTGGGCCGTCAGGAGCATGTTTAGGCCCTTAAGAGCATGGGTAGGTAAATTTTAGGCCTTTTCTTTATTATATTCGAGGTGAGAGGTTGTCTCTTAGTTATTATTTTATCCGGGGAATATCCCGTAGTATATGTATTTGGAGGATGTGGCGAGCATCGTGGAGGAGCGTAGGTTAGTTTAGGATTTTTCTTTCCTTTTTTTTATTAGGCGGGGACAACCTTAAACCTCTTTGTGTTTATCTTCTTTTGTGTGTTTACCTTAATTAGAGTACTCTTTAAAGCCAATTTGATCATGTACGCAACCGTACTAGTTACATGACTTGGGGAATGCCTAACACCTTCTTCCCGAGTCAAAAGAACCCCTTAATTGGAATCTACGGTGCAAACTAATTTTGGAATCTAAATGTGTTTTAGGAGGAAAATTCATTTTTTTAAAACAGTAACTTGGCACGCCGAAACCAAATGTCAATTGCCGACTCTGAAAAATCTTTTAAAACTCAATCTTTTGTCACTTTCCGTTTGAAAACCCTTTTGAACTTAAAAATCACTTTATATCTTTTAAAGAGGTAGTAAGGTAAAAAAGGGGTGTGAATTTTAGAGGACCAAATCAACGGTGGTCGGGTAGTGGTGCACCCATCCTCCTAAATTCTGGATCCGCCTATGCTCAAGCTATTGATATTTTAGTTAACCGTCGATGGACATGGTCTGACAGGCACGTCCAAGTTCATTAATTTACCAATTTACCCATAAATTGTGTTGGAGAAGAAAGTGAATATATTTTTAACCAATGACAGACTCTTTTCTATTGAGATAAATTAAAAGGGAATAACTTCATCTTCTTCCACTTCAAAAGAAGTTAATCTTTTACTGAGCTAATGAATAAAGAGTGGAGTTCGGGCACACGAAAATTGGGTTGATAGAGTTTTGCAAAGCAAAATTAAAATAATCCATGAAAAAACCCAATTTTTGGCGTTACAGGAGCTATATCGCAGTTGGACGCACAAGATACAACACATCAGTCATAAAAATAATTGGGCAACAGAGGTGCCTTATGTTGAGATGCTGTTTTTTATTTTATTTTTGCGCAAGCATATGTTTAGAATCTTATTTTTTGATAATAGATGCAGTCAGAGGCGGATCTATGTATGGAATTGGGGGTGGCACGCCACCCGGTCGCACGCATAAAGTTTTATATAAGGAACAAGTGGCACCCAAATCGCAAAATGACTATAGGTGCCATGGTTGAAGTGCTGAAATTCCATGCACAACACTAGGGATCGAGGCTCTGTATATGCGTAGCCTTTCTTTTCTTTTTGTTAATTTCTCTCATTTTCTTCATCTTAAATGTTCACTTATCTTATACAATTCCAATTTTATTATTTATTTATATTATATATTTGCTTCCTTTATCTTTTTCTGAATGTTCGAATTTTATTTGGATGGATATAATTTAATGGTTTTCTTTTTTTATCCATATAATGTTATTTTATTAATTACAATTTTTTTTATAGTGATGCATCAAAGACATAATATAATATTAATTAGCTACATGTAGATGGAAGGGGTGTATCACATATTCGTTTATGCATAAAACACATTTTAAATTGGATTGACTAACTTCAAAATGGATCGAACCGAACCGAAGTAATTCAAAACGGATCGAATCGACTTAATGTACACCCAAGTTCAATCTTCTTCACTAGTGGTCGTTAATAGTGGCACCCGTAGCCATTAAATTCTGGATCCGCCTCTGAATACAGTACATAATNTGAGTTCGGATTTTTTGAATTTTGTCGGGTTCCGAGGTACGGCCCGGGGTTGACTTTTTGATTTTTTGTTAAAGATCTTAGCTTTANCCTGGATCCGCCTCTGAATACAGTACATAATAATTTTCATACACACTTAATATAATGAGAAAACTGTTTAGGGGCCGAAGTATTTGGGACCTCTTAATATAATGGAGTGATAGGCTCAAAAAGTATTTTGGAGATACTATTTTTAACTTCGCCATTTTGAATTCCATGCCCATCTCCATGCAAATACATGCAATGTGCTGTTCTTGCGATATTCTTTGTAATTTTGACGAATGCTTCAGAAAATAACGAGTTTTCCCTTTGAGTTGTGTTCATCCGTTCCCATGTCTCCTTAATACATAAACATATGTGTTCTCTCGCCTCTTCTTCGGAAGCACCCTTTTCGTTCATGTAACACTAAATTGACTTAGGAACATCACCTCTCTTCAATTCATCCTGAATTAATTATAAAAATAAATAAATAAATAAATAAATGAGACACAAATATTGTTTATAATTATAAATCAGTAGTCGTATAAATTAATTTTATATGAGAGAATAAAGGTTTAAAAGCATACCGATGATGTCGCTAAATCATCGGCAAGACGAAAAATTGTAGCAGAGCAGCGAATTAAGTCAGGGTATTTGCTTAATGATTCCAATGCCTCTTTGGGAACTGGATTTGTGACGAGGAAAAATGCATGGACTAATACCATAGGAACTGCAATTGAGATCCATGCGTTGTCCATGTATTCTTTCAGAGTTGGCACATATCCACTGTAGTACCATCTTGCTTCTCGTATGAAAGATTTGCACAAATCTGCCCACTAATAACATATATGTGAAATTTCAATAAGTTTTCAACGTATATTAAATTCTGAACCCATAATTTTAAAAATACAATTGGTTCTTATGATGAAAAGTTTAAATGTTGAACACATCAAATTTAAATACTGGATACGTCTCATGAGAGAATTAGAGGCGGTT